GGAATTCCCATCTGGGGGTGACTTCAGGGGTTACTCTGCCCTATATCCTTGCCCAGCTGATGGCCAGTTTTGGTTTTGCCCCACTCTCTCAAGATGCTCAGTGCTTAGTTTTGCAGCTGCTTTGGGAGGTGGGTGTGGGATACAGCACTGAGGCACAGCAGTGCCCCTTGCATGAAGCATACCACAGGCAGCTTGTCTCTTTTTTTTTTTTTTTTTTTTAGGGGTGCGGAAAAACACCAAGCAGAGGGCAGGCATAAACCTACAGAGATCCCAGTTTCCTCCTTACAATCCCTGCCGTAGCACATTTCTGGCTGTGCAGCACTGCCATGGAGGCTCTGGCTGTGCTGCACACAAGTGCCGCTTGGACTGCTATGCCCAGGACAGGCTGCAGGACACAGGTTTTGTGTTGAGAAGCTGCACTGCCCTAAGCTTCTGGGCTGGAGATACCATCAGCCACCTCCAGCCCATGAGCAGCACAGGGCAAGGCTTAGCTCTGCAGTTTGGGCTCTTCCAGGAGAGTCCCAGAGAAGACGGTGGCACACACACATTAGTATTTTCTACTTCACGGTAAACAAGTTCCACTGTATCAGTGTGCACTCTTAAGTAGACTCCACGGTGTGTCTCCTGCTGCATCTGTGCACTGCAATATAGTTAATTGCCTCAGAGAAATAGCTGCAGTTGTCTCATTTAGCTCTTCAGGATAAACTTTCAGCCTGTTTAAATATTGGCCATGCGATGAGATGGATTAGTCAAAGGCTTAAATTCTTCAGAGCTGCAAGTGTACCCTGTGTTGCAACAGCTAATCCTTAAATATAAATTGCGCACTGACAATAATCCGTCTATGCAAGCCTAGGTTTTTTCTTATTTTTGACTGTTCACTCTGTAATTTTATCAGGTTTGGCATAGAACTTCTGAATGACATTTAACCAAAGTATCATGTCTCTGTGTGTATAGCATGTTTTGCTTCATACTCCTGAATTCTCATTGAATGTAAAGGGATCACTGCCTTGCCCCACTTTGTTCAATAAACCGCTGTATTTTGTTATCCACCACATCCTTCTGTCCCTCCATGTGCTTTTCTGGGAATACTGAAGTGAGTTACACAAGAGCAGGAGAAAACAGCGCTTTGTTCCACCCTTGGCTGCTGGAGCTTAGCTTCTTCTACCAATAATTATGTTCTTCCAATGTAATAGATGTAGCAAAACAACAAATTTGTATTTAATTTGATTATTTTGTGGCCAGAGAGATGGAAAAAAAGCTGTGTAATATCTTGGAAAGGATCTGGACTGTTTCACTTCCTGAGACTGTGATACTGAAAAATAAAGCAGTGTAATTATTTGCAAGGATAGGATACTTTTTTTCTTTCTTCTTTGTTAACATAGCTTTTTAATTTGCAAAAAGCCTCCTTAAAGCTTCCCAGGAACACCTCACACCTACAGTGGTGGGACGGAAGGCAAGAAGGAAACATGGCAAATGCCCTGTGACTGACTGTTTTCAAAGGCATGAGCTGAGGATGCAGCCACCTGCAGCTCAAACACGAGCAGACTTGAAGCCATCTCCATGTCACAAATTCAGCTGGTGACAGAACATGCTAAAATAAAGGGGAGGATACTAAATACGAACTCCAGATCTTGAGTCTAAACTGCCAACCTTTCTTAAATGTTTATTTACTCATTTCCCTCTGCTTGCCAAGTGTAACCATTGCACGGGGGAGCAGAGAGCCCTTTCACGCCCCACTGCTGGGTGCACGAGGCTGTCCTGCCAGGGGCTTGCTTTCCCCAGGGGCTGGGTTGGTGCAGGAGTGCTCTTGACTCTTAACGGAGTTCAGTTTTGGGCTTGTCACAGCACTACTCCAGTGCTTTCAAATGCCTTTACATCATCTTTACGTCCTACCAACTTCATCTCGGAGTCCCTTGGGTACTAGCAGGGAGTGGAGGTAGGGACCAGCAAAACAGTTAGAAAATTAAAAATACTAGGACATGGTTAGCAGTGGAAGAGCCTGGTTGTAAAAACAGGGCATGCGGAAGTGCCAAGAGCTTTGCCAACTCAGAGTTTATTGCAGCCTCTCGTCTGAAGGGACTGGGTTGGTCTGTTTTCTTTGAAAGGCTTCTTTCATGCCAGCCTTGGCAAATGGTTAAGTGTTAGTCTGTGGTGGGAGGGGGGCCAGCTGGAGCCCTGAGTAGCATCTTTCACCTGCTGCTGGAATGCACACAGAGGACTGTATGTGGGAGCCACAAAAGGAACATTGAAAAGCCACTGGGGACTTTTTTTTTCGTTTTTTTTTTTGCTGTATCAGAGGAATTGCTGATCTCTGGGTTTCCAAGTCACATGCAGCTCTCAAACTGTATGGACATCGGTGGTGATCCATTGTGCCATTGGTGATGGATCCAGGTTTCTCAGGTATCCTCCAACCGTGAGAGAAGACAAGCCGGCAGAGGCTGCTTGAAGTCAGCGTTGCTTGGTACCCAGCAGCCTAACTGCCCACTTGGCTGCTCCATCCTGCACTCTAAGGGAGGAGCTGAAGGTGGCAGCTGCCATCTCTCACCTGTGCACGTGTCCAGATGCTCATCTTCCACCTAGGTCCATGCTGTGTAACTGGGGGCTCTTGCCCAGAAAGACCTTGGTGTGTGTTGCTTGTGGCTTGGGAGGGCTGAGCCCTGCTTCAAGGCTGCCTGTGGAAGGAACTGCAGGGTTGGGGGTGCTCACACACAGCAGGTAAATGGCTTTTCACATCCAGGTAGACAGCCAGGGCTAAACTGAGCTGTTGTGTGTTGGCTCACACTTTGCAGTGGGAGCAGATGCTGGTGGGGAAACACGGTTCTCTTATCTGGAACTGATGGTTCCCTGATCTGGAACTGATGCTCCTCTTGCTCACGGGGCATACCATAGCTGCACAGCGACCCAAAGCCTAAACAAGCTGGGGTAGCTGAGATACAAATGACTTGGTGTTCTACACGTGGTATGTACGTACCATTCTAGATTTGTTTCCTGGAGACCTGGTGGGTTACAGTTTGTCTGGAGGTGGAGAGCATCCCTCTGCCATGTGAGACCCTGGGTTATGCCTGAGACTATTCCTTCTCATTCTCAATATTGAGCAAAACCAGGCCCTACATCCCAATCCTTTGTGCCATCCTGCTAGCAAACAAGTGGCAGCTCCTGGCACCAATCAGTTATCTCAGGTCAGAGGTACGTGTCCATCACCATGATTTGTTCTCTCAGAGACAGTGATCCTTGAACAGCACCCTGAGTCCATCAGTTTTATCCTGCTTCACCCTGGCCAGACTTCCTGCCACAGTTAATGGTAAAACAGAGATTTAGTAAGCGAGATCAGACTGCAAACCAAGTTTAAAACAAGTACAGAACTTGAGTCTAGCAGCTGGGTGTTTGTTGAATGTCCGTGCTTCTCTGACCCCAGAGAGCCCAAGACAAGCACCCAAGCGGCTGTGCCAAAACCTCCTCCTGTTCCATGATGGTGGTGGTGTGCAGCAGCTCTGAGCACTGACACCTCGGTTTTTACAAAGTCTCCTTTCCTCTGGCACTGCTTTTGCCTTAGTAATAGCTCCCCTGTCCTGCCCTTTCCCCCAAATGGGACGTCCTAACTTCACCTCGGTGACTCACCTCATGGCCTTTCGCAGCCAGGCTTCAAACACAGACAGAACTAGCTCCTAGCTGGTGCAGGGGCTCCAGGACCACCACATGATTTCTATTTATGTATAAACAGCGTAATGCCACGTCACAGGAAATTTTTTTTCCTGGCAATTTTAGATTTGGATGCTGTTTCATTTTTATTAAAACACAGTTGATACATGCAGCACCTAATTGTGAGTCAGAGGAACACGTGCGTGTCTTGCTAATTAGGGTTTATGCCCAGGTGAGTGGTGCAGAAGCACACCAGCGTCCCCTCCCCTGGGCTGAGCATGGAGCTGGGATGGGCACTTACCCAGTGCGCTCCACGCCGTGGCCTTCCTCCCCTCTTCATCCTCCCCAGGCACAGGCAGGAGGGCGATGGCATGGCCATGCGTGTGTGTGTCACCAGAGGGCACTTAAGGAGCATGAGCTTTGTCCCAGCGAGGCTGGAAAAGAGCTGATTTGTAGTTTTAACAGTTACTGATACAACAGTTGGAGGTTTACCAGGGGAAGGTGGTGTCTGTGGAGAGGATGAGATGTCTGGCTACACGATGTTTATTCCCGCTGGCTGCCAGCTGCCACACTGTCCCGAGAAGCTGTGCTCAGCCTGCCAAGGGACACACAAACCCCACTCGAGCACTTCACTTGTGTACTTTTATTTACTTGTTAGTTACTCACAACTGATGAACCACTGAAGGCCAGCCTGAGGGTGCATGTTAATGTCCAGGAACATCCCCACCATAAAGCGAGCGGGCAGATCTCGAGGAAAAGCTTGCTTGCAGTCTCCTCTCCAAAGGCAAAGGGAGGCAGCAAGAGCAAGGATTTCTCCGTGAATTTTCTCATCTGCTAGCAAACCCAGCCAGCTCATCCTACTGGAAAAGTCCTCAACTGGAGGAGACAAGTCCTGTGCGCAGACAGGACCGCCCCTGTTGCCACAAGAAGCCTGGGAGGGTTGGTGCAGAGCATCCCACGGGAGAAGGGGATGCATCATTGCAGCACCTGAGGCAGAGAGGACCCACAGCTGCTCCGAGTGTGGCCATGACTGCAGATCTGACAGCAGCTGTGTCCCGTTGACATCCCCATGGGATAAGAGGGACCAAGAGCAGCAGTACAGACAACTGGGGAGGGCAGGGCTCTGTTTGTCAGGGAGAACTGTAATGTCCCAACAGCAGCAGACCGGGTCCTCCTGGTGCTTGCTCCTCTGGGAACCTAAGCCAGCTCTCCTGATGCTGGGAGTTAATTCAGCTGTGCAAAGGTGCAAGTTAATGCTAATTTGCCTCATCCCTAAGGATGTGGAAACAGCCAACCAAAGCTGATTCCTCCTAGCCCTGCTGTTCTTGGTCTTCTGCACTTTTAGCTGGGAAGAGACCAGTGCCCTCGTGGGTCCTGGCTGACAGCAATGGCTCCCGTCAGAAGCAGGTAGGCCAAGAGGGGATTGCTTTTCTTCTGTGTGGGACAGACACTGGTAGCTGGTCTCAGGAAGATGTCTGCTTGAAATCGGGATGTGCTGCTTGACAGGACCCCAGGACCAGGCACTGTAATTTGGAAGTCACTTTCTGCTCAGCTGAAAACATTTTGTTTTATCTAAATATTCTTCCAATTTGCTGCATGGCAGGTGCGCAAATAGAGCAAGTATTCCCTAGGAGAGAATGAGATAAAATCCCCAGGAACAAGGGAAAATTTCACCATCTGGGCTACCAAACCTTGTGACTGAGTCCAACCCACCTAAATTTTGAACAGGAAACATTCAAAATAAGCTGCTAACCCTAAAAACCAGAGGATTGGAAGTTCTTATAAATAAAACAACAAATCATTAAATACAAATGCTCACCTTTGTAGTTGGTTAGTGGGATATTCATGAAGGCGGTATGAACCTGGGCAAGAAAGGGGAGCGTCAGAGGGGGCTTTTCCTTGAATCTTATTCCCTGGGTACCACAGAGCACAAAGACTGAAGTTAGTGCTGATCACCCTGTGACCTCAATGTGTGCAAAATACAGGTTTGTGCAGGTTTTGGATCAGTCCCAAAAGCAGTTCAGCTGCATGAGCATGGCTCAGGGCTGGAGCAATGCAACCCAGCCTGTCAGCAAGGCAAATACGTTCAAATATTGTGTTGCACTAAACTGCTTTTACTTTCAGATAAAACTCCACCACAGCTAATGCTGATACCTCTGCACTATGAAAATGGGTCCCCAGCTCCCATGGATGTGTTTTGATACCTCCACCCCACATTTACTGGGTATATTATCAACTTCATGTTCCTCACATGAGTGAACTTAACTCGGTTTCAGTGCCAGCCATGGTGTGCAATCCCATCCTTTCTGGTGAGAAATCTTTTTCCCCAATATCCTTAACAAGGGATGGGAGAAATACTTGTCAGTCTGCCTACCCCTTCTCCTAACCAGCTTTCCCTTGGGAAATGAAGAGCAAATTAAAAACACAGGCTTGAAAATAAACTTGGATTAATAAATATAAGTTATCATAAGCTTGAAAAAAAAACAAACAAGGTGGAAAAATGCTTTACTTTCCTTTGAAGTGAATTTTTTTGCGCTGATGACAGTTCGTGTTCTGTGGGCCCAGCGACGTTCCAGAGCAGCACATTTTATACCATGGCTCTCTCTAGTGGCCAGACCACAAACAAGAAAAAGACTGTACCGCTGCTCAGTGGCAGGGCTATGGCTGCATCTCAAGTAAGACACGTATAATTGCACCAGGGGAG